TAGAAATTATTTGCGAATAGGCTGGGGGAGATGGCCTAGTTGCTAAAGAGCTTGCTGTGCAAGCATGAATTCAAATCTCAAGCACCTGTAGACATGGCCAGGTACAGCAGTGTGTGGCTGTCATCCAAGCACTCTGAGCTGTACAATACTTTTAATATACTTGAGTGTCTGAGAATTGAATTATTTCTTGATCATTGAGCTATTTGGGTCATTTTCAAGTTTTGTAAATTTGATTGTAGTTTTCATCTTTCTGTTTCTTTCTATTAATTTAGATAGAATCCTAAAACTAGAATGATTTGGTCAAAGGGCAGGGACATTTGTAGCTGTCTTGTTGCACACTCCCAAACTGCTTTTTGGAAAGGTCACCTCCTTGTCCCAGCTGTGTAAGAATCTTACGACCCCCACCTGCTCAAGGGAACGACACCTGTTTTGGGCAGAGGTCTTCTTGGTGCCTCTGTCTCCCACCCGGTGTGTGGTCTACTTGCTTAAGTCTCTATTCCATCTGTCTCTATTATATAGGCCTATTAAAGTTCACAATTTCTGGGTTTGCATATTCAGTGGTTGAAGAAATGTTTTGACAGAGGAGCCTCTAAAGGCCTCTCATTACATGATAGAGTGGATAGAATGATCAACCTTGCACTATCACAAGTGTTGCTCATTGCCTAGTAAATCCTGGTCAGGAATTCCAGTAGAATGGCCAGCCCACTCCCTGCTGCTGATTATTAGCTTTCTCTAAATTTCACTTTTTTTTGTTGGAATTTTTTATTTTGTAAATTCAGGGTCTCACTATGTAGCCCTGGCTGGCCTGGAACTCATTACATAAACCAGGTTGGTCTTGTACTTCAGAGATTTTCCTGCCTCTGCTTCCCAACTCCTTGGAGTAAAGATGTTTCACCCTAAGGAAAATATATAACTTACTTTTCATTTATAGCAATCCTTACAACTTAAATTCTACCCAGTACATCTGGATCATCATGAAACTTCCTGCTTAGGGACACCTACTTCCCTGGGAGGCTGAGATGTGCATGGGTTCGTGTGTGTATGAGTGTGTTTGTAAGTGTGTGTGCACACGCGCATGCGCAAGCCTAAAATACATGAAACAAGAAACAAATTTGAACATTCACTCTCACTAGTCATCATTATACTTTTCAAACTAGGAACAGTTTCAAGTAGTGTAAGATATAGCCAGACATGTTTGTGTAGGTTCTCCATCCTAGTAGAGGCCTGGGGAATCTCTGTGAATTTAACATCAGTGTGGCTTTCATACTGAGTTCCAGCCCAGCCAAGGCTACATAGTGAGCTCTTGTCTAGAAAAAGGTCTGTGAATTAATAAGAGTGATTAATGGTTAGTTGCAACAAATATTTTTAGAAAGTAATTTTATAGTAGGTCTCAATGATAAGATCATATAGTTTAGGTTCTAATCATGTACTTTAAAAAAAAGATTTGTTTTGGCTTTATGTGTATTACCTGTGTATGTGTATTATGTGTATTATGTGTTTTGCCTGTATGTACGCATGTTGCCATGTTTGCATTGGGAGCTGAACCCAGGCCCTCTGCAAGAGCTGCAAGTGTTCTTAACCATAGGCCATTTCTCTATTCCCCATATTTTCTTTAACATATGCTCTTTTCATTGTCAAAGAAAATGTGCACAAAATATGAAGTTTTGGTATTATTTGTAATAGACTTTGGTAATAGGAATATGATTAAGTAAGTCATACTGCAATCAATTCATTAATGTTCTGAAATCTTTAAAAACTGTTGATGAACAAGTGGAGTAGTCATAACATTTCCATATTGTGCTGGTGCTCCTGCAGATCTGCTGCCCCCCCCCAGCTGCATTAGGCCATGGCCATCTGAGGACCCCCACCCCCCAACACACACACACACACATACACACAGAGTTCAATCTGGGTCTTGTAAGCAGACTTCTGCTTCAGAGTTTTCCTTTTGGTGCATGGCCATCCCACACTGTCGATCCATGTGCTTGGGAAGTCCCTCAACAGAAGTAAAGTTCTGGAGAAAGAGGCCCTTCTCCAGCCCCTGTCCTGAGGAAGAAGCAGACCTTGGTAAAATCCTGCAGGCTGAAAATGGGAGCTTGGAAAGCCAGCGCTTGTAGACACTGGGCTGCCCAGCTGGCTTGGAGTCAGTCAGCTTTGTTCTCCCAGGCAGCTGAATGTGCTCTCATTGACATTCCACTGGACATGGTGGCACAGGCATGTCATTCTAGCAAGTACTAGGGAGACTGAGGCAGGAGCACAAAGAATTAGAGGCCAGCCTGGGCTGCATTCGGTGACCCAGGGTTACACCGGGAGACCCTGCTTCAGATGGAAGTAGGCAGAGATTTCCCTGGAGTAGCCAGAGCCCAGTGACCTCTGGATTTTCTGCTTCCAGAGCTGTGTTGGCATCCAGGGAATCTGCCTCGAATTTGGGGGTGGGGTGGGTTGCTGTCTCCCTTGTCCTCACCAAGCACAGTCTCTCTCCTCAAGGCCTCTGCTCCTTGGGCAGGCCATATGTTTTCCCAGGCCTTCACTGTCCCTCCGTCCTGGATGTGTTCTGGGTGACTCCCGAAAGCATCCCCTAACCCTTGGCTTTTCCATTTCTCTGAATTCAGACTTGCTCTGCTTTGAGACCGGAGCTGGATAACAACTCTAAGTAGGTGACATCACCTTGTTTGGGGCGCCCCTCCCCCACCCCTCCACAGCCTTCACTTCTGCTACACAGTTTGCTTCCTTTTCAAAACCTCTTCTTCCTACTTTTTTTTCCTTTTCTCACCTCCTCTACTTCCTTTTTAGCTATGCTGTGTACTGTCTTGGCTGTTTCTGCTATCTCCTTTATTCTTCTGACCCTGCATTCCTTAAGATCTCTGGATGGCTGCAGCTTCTGTCCCTCTTGGGGACCCGGCCAGCACATGCCTGAACCTTGGGGATCTCTGGTATCTGTGTGTGTGCATGTGAATGTATGTGGCACTTGTTTCTTGGGGGACCCTCTCAGTACTGCAGGCTCATTGCAGCCAGCGGGAGAGAATATGCCACCCTACAAGCCAGCACTTGTGAGCATGTATCACCTGGAAATGAGTCCCATTGCTTCCTGGGACTTTTGTCAGCCACCTCACACTTTGCTTGACTGCAGGGCCACTGGCTGGGACTGTGTGAACCCTGCTCTGTTGAAGTAAGTAGTCAGGCTCAGGGTTGGATGTTATATGGCTTTGGGGACCTGAAGGGGACATAGTGCTTTGTAGCCCTGTAGGATTTCTGTCCTATTTCCTCATGGGCATGGGTCCAGGCCAGGTGTCTTGGCTGTTTCTCACCTCTGGGGGCTTGGGGACTCTCACCCTTTCCTGTAGTGCATTCTGGCCAGGACCTGTGACTATTCTTACATTGCCAGAGGCCCTGTTCTGGACTCAGGGAAGGTGCTCAAGCCTGGAGACTTGCTATTTCTACTTTCTGTTCTCTCCCAGTCCTGAACTAAGATGAGTCAAGCCAGGTGAGGCTTATCTAGGTCCTGAGATAAAGCTTGTTTCGCCCTCTTGTTCAATCCCCCTCCCCCTCCTATGCAGGGTGATGTGAGCAGAGTCCAGGAATGCATTATGCCAATCTGCAAAATGAAATTTGTAGGCATTTGGTAGCTGTAGGAATCTAGCTCAGGTTGTCATGGCAAAGTACCACAGCCTGATAGCTTAAACAATGGAAATGTATTTTCTCACTATATGGAAGCCAGAGGTAGAAGATGAAGGGGTGTTTTAGGCCTTTCTCCTTTTATAGATGGCTGTCTTCTCCCTAGATCTTTCATTGTCTTATTTCTGGGGCCTTTGGGTTCCAAATGTCATCTCCAAAGATATGATTTTGTAAAGGACCAGGGCCCCTTATGACATGGTAATACTTTAAAGACTCTGTCTGTGACTGGACATGGTTGTACATACCAAAAACCTCAGCACTTGACAGGCTATGGCATCAGGATTGAAAGTCTGAGGATAGCCTAGGATAGCCTGAGCTGTACAGAGTGAGACCCTGTTTCAAAACAAAAATAAAAACAAACAAACAAAAAAGCCAAATCCCTCCTCCCAAATCCAGTCATATTTTGAGATATGGAGGTTAGGACTTTGGCACATGAATTTGTTTGTTTTTCAAGATAGGATTCCTCCTCTATGTAGCTTTAGAGCCTGTTTTGGAACTCACTCTGTAGACCAGGCTGCCCTTGAACTCAAAGATCTGCCTGTCTCTGCCTCCCAAGTGCTGGGATTAAAGGCGTGCAGCACCACCGCTGGGTGGCATATGAGTTCTTACAGGGCACAGTTGAGTCACTACAGCAGAGGGGCATCAGCAGCAAGGACGGCTAAGGGCGGCTTTGGCTAGAGGCTCTGGAAACCTACCATTAGTGGCATTTAATCCTTGGATGCTCTAGCTCCTTTATGCCTAAATTCCTGACCAAATTTTGTTGAGGTACCTTCCTTGAGAGTGTTTCTATGTGTAAAATGAGTTATCAACTACTTATGGAAGCTTTGTGCAGAGTAATGACTGACGGGCCAGGAATGGCTTCTTGTACACCTCCAACTTAACTCACAGCCAGAGGTTTAATAAGGTGTGGTACCATGATTATTCCCACTTCCCAGATGTGGGAACTGGGGCCTGGAATGACTAGAAAGGAATCAGCGGTGACCAGGAAGAATACTGACTAAATTGAGGCTCTTGGTGCACATGCGTACACTGTGCATAGCCAAGTCCTCCAGGGATGTAGAATGTCTGATTCCATGCACAGCACACAGTAGGGCCTCAGGGAAATTAGCTGAGTCAGTTCTAATGGGTTTCATTAACAGTCATCAATAGAGTTGGTAGGCGTTCCCAGGGTTCAATGGGGTAGATGTTTGGGGACTAAAGAAGGAAGCTGGTGGCGAGGAGCCCAGCGTGTCACAGAGGTGTGTCAAACCTGGGACAGGTGAGGCGCATGCTAGCTCTCCGAGCCTACTTTAACCTCCTCACCTGCCTCTCCTCATGTTGTGCAGGGTGATGTGATCAGAGCCCAGGAATGCCTTATGTGGATCGGCAGAACCGAATCTGTGGGTTCCTGGATATTGAGGACAATGAGAACACTGGCAAGTTCCTTCGGAGATACTTTATCCTGGACACGCAGGCCAACTGCCTCCTCTGGTACATGGACAATCCCCAGGTGAGAAGCCAGGTGTGAAGAGGGCAGGACACTGCTGTCCCTTCTATCACAGCTGGGAAGAGCACAGGAGTCGGGCTTCTTTCAAGGGCTTTGTGTCTCAAGGTGATTGAACGGAGTGAGAGACACCCCAACATACATCTACATGCATGCCCACAAAGAGAACTCTGTAGAGCTGGCCATATGGCTCAGTGATGTGTGCACACTTACAAGAATCTTGATTTAATCTAGAGTGTGGGTATTAGGTTGGGGGAAAGAAGACAGAGGGGAGAAAGTTGAGGAGCAAATCTGGGGAAGACAGTCTTCTAGTCCTAGATCTGTGCTTTGCTCACACACCAGGAATTTGCCAATTGGTGAAAGTGAGGCAGAGTCTCCCTCCGAGTTTCCGGATATAACTCCCTTCCTCTTACCTCTCAGGGCTGTGGCCCGGTGACTGCTCCTGCTCTTCCAGTCTGGGGCTCCTCCCCAGCAGAGAATGTGATCTGGTTCCCTGAGCTGGACAACATCAGGCCTCTTTGGTCTCCTGAATCAGGAAGTCATGGAGTCTTGGTTTGGCAGTAGTGACCTCCTAGATCACCTGGTGTCTTTCTCATGCTATGGAGGAGGAAACTGAGTCCTGGACATTGCAATCTACCCTAAGTGAGGAGAAGTTACCAACTTAACTGTCTGTGGGGGCCACTGAATGTTTGTTTGTTTGTTTGTTTGTTTTTAGATAGGTTTGTAGATCTATCCTTGTCTGGCTTGTAATTCACTATGTAGACAAAGTCATAGAGATCCATCTGCTTCTACCTCCCAGTCCTGGGATTAAAAGTGTGCACCCTGACCATGGTGTTGCTGCCCTCATTCTGAAGGTGAGGGTGGTGGTATGGAGCAGAAATCTGCCCAGTGTTAAATAAAAAGGGTGTGGCAGAACTGGGGCTACAAGCCTGTCAATCTGACTGCCGGACCCCTGCCATTGCTGCTCACAATAAGACAGTTATCTTGAGGTAGCTTTGAGAATAAGAAAAGCCTGTAAGTCAAGTTTCTGGCTAAGAAAGAGAGCAGAGGACACAGCTTGGGAGGTGGCAGAGGGCAGAGCTTATGTGCTCAAGCTGATCTACAGTGTCTGGAGTTGAACAAATGTGTACTTCCTACATAAAGGAATGAATAGAAGATGGAAGGGGACAGTGAATGAGGCTGTCAGGGGAAGTAAGGGGGTTTAATAGTGCTCTCATGGAAGCAGGGACAGGATCCGAATCTAGTACAACCTACAGCCTAGGCTGTAGGGGAATGTTGGCCTGTTCTTGTGGAAGGCCACTTGGAGAACTATGCTTGGGTCATTGGGTCATTGGATATTTTTCTCTTTATAGGGAAAAGGGGGGCTGTTTATGTGGTATGATGATGATTTAGCAAGTATTAATGAGCAAGTTAATTCGTTAATAAGAGAACCCAGGTGTCTCTGATTGTCGCCTGTTGAACCTCGAGTATCTGGTGTTGGTGAGCCTGTCTCTGCCACTGTTGCCTCCATTACTGTTCCTGCTACCTCAGTCTGTTTACTGAGGACTTACCATACACCAGCCATCGTGTGTGTGTGTGTGTGTGTGTGTGTGTGTGTGTGTGTGTGTGTGTGTTTCATTAAATGTTCTGCCTAATCCTGAGCCCTTGGGGCTGAAATCCATTCCTGTTAACCAGGCTGGAAATGTAGAGCTGGGAGAGGGTGTGTGTGAAGCTGGGTTCTTCCTATTCTTTACTTCTGTCCTCTCTCCCCTTCTGATAGTTTTCTAGCTCCTGTAGGAGATGGGGAAGGTGAATGCAACAATGTCTCTGCCTCTGGGAAGCTTCAAGTTGAGGAAACAGAAATGACAGGCATAGGGGCTGGAGAGATGACTCTGTGGTTAAGAACACTGACTGCTCTTCCAAAGGATTCAATTCCCAGCACTCACGTGGCAGCTCACAACTGTTTGTAACTCCAAGACCTAACACCCTCACACAGACACACATGCAGGCAAAACTCCATCTGCTAGAGGGATGTGCAAGGGGATGGTGGCGGGGGGGGGGGGGGGGGGGAGAAATCAACACAACATGGACTAACACAGCATGGACTAGGTATAGCTTTGCATGGCAGTATTTCAAGTCAGTGTGAGGTAAGGAGTTAAGGTTTTCAGTCACAGAAGTGGGTGGCACTAAACCGAGAATGAAACCCAATAGCTAAAACGGCCTCATTAAGTAGGAAGTACCAATGTTATTGATTAGGCAACTGTATCGGCTAGTGTGTTTAAAAGTCAGTATCCTGGCAATGTCAAGCAAGCAAATAATTCTTTTGTTATTGCAGTAATCATCTTTAGCATGAAGTTTACCCTTTTAGGAAATTTCTAAACTCATAATACCATACTGTCAAGTATAGGCAGGGGATAACAGTATATAACTTGCAGTATAGCAAATCTCCCTACAATCCAGTATCTTGCATATAAGCAATAGTTTTGTTGTTGTTTTTTATGTTTTCAGTGCTATAAGTTGAGCCGTGGGTCTCATTCATGGTAGGCAATCGCTCTTCCACTGACCATGTTTTATTTATTTAGAGACAAGGTCTTGCTAAATTGTCTGGGCAGAACTGAATTTGTGATTCTCTTGCCTCAACCCCTTGAGTAGAGTTGCTGGATTTATAGGCATGTGCCAGTCTGTAGCCTTGCTTGGCAATAACTCTTTAAATATTGTCTAAATTTCATTCAAGTTAAGATACTAGCAGGAGTGTGTGTGTGTGTGTGTGTGTGTATGTATGTATGTATGTATTCCAGTGCACAGGCACATTGATAATGCTAGGTATTAAACCCAAAACTTTACATGTGTTGGGTAAATACTGCACCACTGAGCTACACTTTCAGACCTTGGCAGCTTTACTTTTAAATGAGTGTTGGTCCTGATCATGATCATGAAGATGGGGCTCATCTTCTCTGTAGTGACCTATGAATGACGACCTAGGTTTCAGCTGCTCAGCTGCTCAGCCACATTGATGTTTATCCTCGTCAGTGCCCACCCACATGGCTACTTGCAAGACTAAATTATACAGCTGTGAATAGAGCAAACCAAAGCATGGAAATGATATGACATTTAATGAGGGCTCTTGTTACGATTACTCAGTAGAGTGTATTTTTTTTTCCTCATCCAAAAATATTATTTTGGTGTACTTCTTTTGCACAGTACTTTAAATGTGAATTGTGGGTCATCATAATATCCCTAAAGCTTGCATGTCTCCTAATAAATCTGGGACCTAAGTAAAAGATCTTTGCTTTGTTTAGACAAACAAAGACTGAACGTGGGTCTTTCTACTGGCCAAACAAACAGCACCAACAATGTTCACAGCAAGATGGATACTGGGCTCATTTCAGTGGACAGAATACAGTGTGAGGGGAGAGTCTACTAATATGACCCTCATAATGTTTTGATGTATAACTATATTGCCACCTTAAAGCCTGAGTGAAAACAATGTTTTAAGAGTGATGTTTTCATGTCAGGAACCTCCTTTGGAAAGGTTAGGGGTCTATCAGTACTTTAAAAGCTTCCACATTACCAGCTTCATCCTGCCCAAATGCCAAGACCCAGGAAGTAACTTCAATGAAAACTGGGCAACACATACACAAATTTAGGGTAAAAAAGTAGACAAGGTGGCAACAGCTCTGTGCCCTGCCCCTGGCCACTGGCTATAGCCCCTCTGCAGGCAGCAATATGACAGGCCTTTTCAGTGTCTGTCCACAGAACCTCCACATAAACGGCATCTTGTAACCGTCAACTCTTTCACAATGGGTTTCACAAAGTCTTTTCTTTTTAATATTCCTAAATTTTTGTCTTTTAAGTTTTTGAGTGTGTCTTTCTGCGGTTGATATACTAATTGTAAATGTGGCTTAGTTTTTTCCTATGGCTGTGACAAAACACCATGGTAAATGCAACTCACAAAAGAAAAAACTGATTGGGACTCAGTGTTCTAGGGGGCTAGAGTTCATGACCATTATGACCAGGAGCATGGTGATGGAGGAATCTGAGAGCTTGAATGTTGAGCCAACAACCATGAGGCAGAGGCAGAGGGAGAGGAGAAAGAATGAACATGAACTGGGGGGGGGGCAGAGTGAGCTTTGGAAACCTCAAAGACCATCTTAAGTGACACTCCTTCTCCAATAAGGCCTCCTAATCCTTCCCAAACAGTTTCACTAGCTGGGACTAAGCATTCAGATATATGCACCATGGGGCTCACTCCCATTGAAACTCACATTCCACCCACTGATCCTCATGGGCTTGTAGCCACATCATATGCAAAATGCTTTTAGTTCAATTTCAAAAGTCCCCACCAGTGTCAAGACTGTCAAAAGTTCAGTCTCTTCTGAGACTCAAGACAATCTCTTAATGGAACCCCCTGTTAAATAAAAAAGCAAATCACTTACTTCTAACACGCCAAGGTACAGAATATACATTACCATTCCAAAATGGAGGGGCATGGGCACAGTGAGGAGATACTGGACCGAAAATGAAATAAAACCCAACAGGGCCAACTCCAGATGCTACAGTTGTCTGGCTGATGTCAAAGGGCTTAGATGGCTCCTTCTGTCTTTGTTGGTCACACCACATCATGCTTGGGCTGGTCCCACTTCCTGGCAGAGATCCCACAGCTCTGGCAGCCCCAACAACTTGAGATCCCCAATGCAATCCAGGTTCACTTTCACAGCTGTGTCTGGCCTGGTAAATGGTGGGAACTGAGGAGGGACAGGCTTACAGGATGTATGAGGGCAGAGAATGGCAGCCTTGGTGGCTGACTGCAGGGGTCAAGTAGAATCTTCAAAAGTTTAGCATCTGCTTTTGCATAGCTGACCATTAACAATATTCACTTGTGGGCTTCTTAATATTCTGAGTTTATGAAATCATACTCTTTTGTGGTTCTGGAAGCTTGTACCTAATGCTCTTTGCATGTTAAGTAGATATTCTACCCTGAGTCTCTTTTCTAGCTTTCTTGAAAGCTATAATTATAAGCCAAAATT